TTTATATTTAGTAGAGAGGTCTTCATTTTTAATTAAGAGTCCATAATAAGGTAACTTTATATTAATTTTTAATGATTTTTAAGTATATTTTATTGAAATTTTTACATGCTATATATGTTTTGGTTCATAACTCTCATTTATATCATTTGTCTTTTGCTCTCTTGCTCTCTTCTAAATAAAAACTTACGAACTTCTTTTCTAAATGATTATTATTAAAATTAATAATATAAATAACAGGATGTAAATCAAAAGGTAATATTCTGAATTTGACATTTTAATAATCCTACAACATACCTAGCTTTCAACCTTTTCTTAGTTCAAAAATAAGTCTCCTGACTTGCTTATTCAAATACTAAAATTTATTGCTAATTGATGGATTTAATTAGGAAATTGATACCTGCATTTTTGTCCTAGTTCTAACGCTTGTGTAAAGAGAGACTAATAACGTTTTAAAGCATCGTTTTTGTAAAATAATCTCTTTTAAAAAAATCAATTTAAAAATATACTCTATAATACTTGAACCAGCACAGAATTTCACTACACTTTTTGGATTTGTGAAAAGGTTCACTGATGCCCATTACCTACTCTATTGACTCTAGCTATTTGCCTTTCTTCACTCATTCTGAGATTTATCTCATCAACTGCACATGTGTTTATGAGATGGTCTTTTTTGCTTGTTGATTCTCTGACATTTTTGTCGTTTGCTTTGTCTCCAGAGCCTGGCCAAATTTGCGTTTAATTTTCTCAAAGGGAATGTTTAATCTTTGGTTTTGAAATTTTAAATATATTAAAGAAAAAAATATTTCATTTTGGTTCACTGTCAAAGATAATCACCCCAATTTTGTAGCTAAGACACTCAAAGAAGTAACAATCATTAAAACATTTTCAAAAATCAGAAACTTCATAAAACATGACCAAGTTATATGTAAAAGATATATCATGCATATATCATTTCCTAAATAAGATTTTATTTTTCAGTCCTCTTGTGAGATTACTATTTGTGATTAGATATAATTAGTTTAGAGATTAGCTATAATTTGAACATTAGTAAAGATAAAAACAGTTTATCATGTAGCATATATTTATTGCCAAATATACATATCCTTTATATGTAGAAATTCTATGTAAAACTTATGTGAAATTCATACAAATAAAGAGTTTTAGTATATAATATATATTAATGACTGTATAATGGTAAAATGACAAAAGAATAACAGAAAAACTTATCCTATCTATATTTTTGTCCTACTTCTACCAAGGTAACCTATCATTTTTATCCTGGTTCCACTTACATAACCAATCCTAGTTCCACTTAGTGTTTTTTTTATTGATGTTTTTGTTGGTTTTGTACACTGGGTCTATTGCTTGAATCTTAATTTCTATTTTTCATACAATCTACACAACTTGATTTTCTCACTCTTGATAGCAGGGGCCATGCCAGCCTTTACTGTATTTTTCATGGCTCCCTGCACAAATCTTGGTTCATCAAATGCAGTTACAAAACACATATCCAATCAGAAGATGAATATCTTCATAGGCACCTATAATGTATTTACATTTGCAGATAACAATTGCATTTCACAGGTATTATGTAAAATATTTGTAAAGTTCTTAAACATATAATGCTGTAAAAATGCTAGCCACCAGAAGATGGTGATCATTGCCATTTTATTAAGTAATGACAGAGGTCTATATTGTATAATTTTTAAATTTTATTTGGCAATATTTTAAACTTGTCTTTTAATATGACTTTTTTTATTACTATAACTAAGAACTCATTATTGGCTTTATATTTTCTTATTGAATGTGTAAATACTTGTCATTTAAATCAAACCTCGTTGACAAAATTACCTATTAAAGATTGGAAATTGTCTAGCAAAATTAACAAACACCTCATGGGAAAGTAGTAAAAATCGATGATGGTGCCTCAATTTAATTATAACATTTTGTTAATTTTACTTTTTTGCTTTTGTCTGTGGTACTCTGAAATCCTTCAATACTTTTAACTAAAGTATATCAAAGAACTAAGCATCCGTTCTCAAGGAGAATTCTTCCAGTTTTTGCCCATTCGGTATCATGTTGGCTGTGGGTTTGTCAGATGTCTCTTATTACTTTGAAGTATGTTCCTTTGATGTGTTGTTTCTTGAGGGTTATCATAAAAGACATTGGATTTTATAGAAAGATTTTTCTGCATCTATTGAGATGATGGAATCAACCTAGGTGCCCATCAACAATGGATTTGACAAAGAAAATTTGATATATGTATAGCATGGAATACTATGCAGCCATTAAAAAGAAAGAAGCAATGTTCTTTGCAGCAATATGGATGCAGCTAGAGGCCATTATCCTAGGAAAATTAACACAAGAACGGAAAGCCAAATACTCTATGTTCTCACGTATAAGTGGGAGCTAAAAACATCAGTATTCATGGACATGAAGATCAACAGTAGACTCTGGGGACTACTATAGGGGATAGGGAGGAAGGAGGGCAATGGTTGAAAAACTAACTGATAGGTCTTTGCTCAGTAGCTAGGTGACAGTATCATTCATACCTCCAATATCAGCCTCATTCAAGATACCCAGGTAAAAAACCTGCACATGTGTCCCCTGAATCTAAAATAAAAGTTGAAAAAGAAAAGAAAAAGAATGATATAAAGGAGTACTATTCACTAGTACTCCTTCCAGCTCTCTACTTCCCAAATTGTGTATAAAATGGAAAACTAATATATATTCAAAAGAAATAAAATTAATGTCTTGAAGAGAGATGTGTATCCTCATGTTCATTGTGCTGTTATTCACAATAGCCAAGATATGAAACTGACCTGTTTATCAACCAGTAATGGATTAAAGAAATGTGGTGTCTGTATTTGTGTGCAAATTTTTATGCATGCACAATGCACAATATTCCGCCATAAAAAAAGTGGGAAATCCTACCGTTTGTGAAAACATGAATGAGCCTAGAGGGCATTATGAGAAGTGCAATAAGCCATAAACAAAAAGACAAGTATTGTATTATCTTACTTATTTGTGGAAACTAAAGAATCAAATTCATAGAAACAGAGTAGAACAGTGCTTACTGGGGGATTGCAGGTGGGGAATAACAAGAGACATTGGTAAAAGAGTACAAAGTTTCACCTATAAGTTCTGGGTTCTAAGATACGGTATGTGTGGTGATGAATGTATTAATTTAATTGTGGCAATCACTACACTATATATATATATATAGTATATCAAATTATGTTGTACACCTTGATTATATACATATTTGTTAATTAGATATATTTTTAAGTGTAAAAAACAAAACACCTTTAAGGCAATTTCACACAAAGAATTTCTATAATTCTTCTAAAACTAACAAAAAACACTATAATATTAGTGTAAAGTGGTTGCTTTACCTCTCATGATGTCAGGTTCAATAAACAGTCCAAAACAACATAAAGACCTTTAAATACAAAATAATACAAATAACTTCATATAACCTGTTAATTTAATTCATTGATACCTGAAAGAGATTGTAATATTGCATGATGTATTGTAAGTATCTGTTATCAATGCTGATGCAAACTTCTAATGTCTTTATATTATAAGGAAAAAAATGAGGCTAATTCAGAGAATGGTAAAAAGGGAAAGTAAATAGCCCTAATTAATGAATAATATAGAAACTTATTAAAGAGTAACACAAATAAAAAATAAGGATTCTTATTCTTTTTTAACATACATATAAATTAATTTGAGATAAATTCAAATAAACATTTCGTTAAATATAAGACAAAAACACTAATGATATACAAGGTAAACTCTTGGTACCTATTAATTCAGGCCATGGATTGAATTATTATAAAGCAGTAGAATTGCTTGGAATGAATGAAAATAAAATGATAATCTGAGTATCCATGGTGATATCCTCTAAAACAGAATGTTGCACAGGACTTCTGTTAGTGCATACTGCCTAGATCTCCAGTGATGAGAAATGTCTTCCATGTAAGGAAAGTGTGGGTTTCTTTGCTGCTCAAAACATATTTTAAGGTTATATTAAAAAGTACCTCAGACCTTAACACCTTTACTTTATGTTTTACTAATCTAAATAGTATATGGACTTAATGGGAGCTAATGGAATGATCAAATCCTTTAGGGATAATTTATATATTATTAATAATAAAGTATTTATGAAACAAAAAGTAAAATTCTTTATCGTTGCATATTAGATATTTTATCCATAAAAAGATTTTATAAAAATTTTTATTTGATATCTTATTTGATTTTAAAAGTGATTTTACAAATTTTGTTTTGAAAATAAAACCCAATATTTCATAAATATGTGGTTTCAAAGGGAAGCAAATTATAAAATAAATTATAATCAAATATTAGAATGGAAAGAAAAGTAGAGCTTATTAGCATATATATGCAGTTGAAAAAATTCCTTTTTAACTTGATACAATGTTTACAATGATAAGTGAATTGGTATTATTGGAATGATAATCATTTGAGCCAATTTTTAAGGGGTATTAATGTTTCCCCTAATTAGGAGAAAACTTTTTAAGGCTTTCATCTTCTTTTACTTCCTGCTACCTCAGTTCATGTGAAAATCAAGAATCTAATAATCTATTTGTTACCCATTATGTATCAAATACTATTTATAATGAAAACAAATCTCTACTCAGCTTAAAATGTACAGTATAGCTCAAAAGTATTTTCTATTATTTTAGGTAAAATGAATTGTCCTAGGTAGGACTGAGATGTAGCTGAGTTAGTATTGCATTTGCATAAGAAAATGGCAGTCTAGATTAACATTTCTATATCTCCTTGATCTATTAAATGCAAGCAATGCATACATTTTATTTAGATGATAAATCACATTTACTTTGTGCTGTTTTCTTAAGTATAGTTTTCAGAGAGAAACCTTATTTGTCCCTCAAATAATAATTTTAAAATGCTAAACCTATAAATAGACCCTACTTGATAAGCAAGAGAATATGAAAACTAACTCACATTTTCTGTCACTAGAAATCTGAAGGAGGGCTTTATTCTCAAGACTTCTACTAGTGTCTGGAACAATGGAAATCCTTATGAAATACAGGTAGAGGGTTGAATAATTTTACAGAGTAAAATTTGATGAACAAGTTAACAAATATGTACTGAATTCCTCAATTCAATCCCAAATGCATAAAGTTCTTTTTTGAATGTAACTGTTTCTAACTCTTTATCATAAAGAATCAATACAGATCAGTATAACTTTCCAGAGGCCAGTTAAAATGTTTCATAAGATTTATTTTTCACCCAGGAGCTAGAATCAGGGCTAGTGTAACTAAATATAATATTTCTTTTCTAGAAACCAATATGTGTAATAAGTGTAAGATAATATTTTTGGAGTATATTGTTTGGGATCTTAAATGCTTTCTCCAAAATGCACAAGTTATGCATAAAAATGTCTACACTTTAGAAGTTTTAAACTTTTTAATCAGAAAACATTTTTATATAAAGGGATTGCATTTAAAGTAACAGAAAATTATTTTATGACCGCCAAATAGATGTTTTTAACAAATACTTGGTGATTAAAGAATCCATCAAATAGCTCAATTAAAATAATTACTTGATTTAATCAATGAATTAACTAAGCAAAGTTCTTAGGCATAGCATCATCCAGTGAAATGAATTTGTTTAAATATTTGATTAGTATTTAACACAGTTCATTATGTGCTTTAGCAATATTGGAATAATGTGCTTAATAGTCCTAGGATATAGCCTAGGGGCATAGTATACAATATTACAATCTTGGCGCTCTTCTTGGAGATGATCTTGGGATATTGCAACTTCATTCCAAATTAGAAGCTTAAGGAAAATTAATGAGGGTGTTAAAGATACAAAGAGCAGAATAAATAAGTAGTCACTCTGTAAATAAAAAAATTATCCCTTGAGTGAGCTCTGGGTTAATTTCTGGTCTTCACTGTACCCACTATATAATTAAAACATCTTTGTAGAATATAGAAATCTATTGACACATGTATTTAATCTAACTCAAAGCAATTTAAAATTAATATGAGAACATATTTTTGTGAATAATTCAGCAATAACAGTTTTGCCTTTCTAGAGGTAACGTTGAGTTACATGGATCTTCAGTGTAACTTGTCTATATTTCCCAAGACTGTTTTGGTGATATGATTATCCTATTTTGATATTTACCAGTGAAATGTGACTATTTCAGTACATACGATAGTCTCCATACATATGCAGAGTCACAAATGTATTTTTAATAAATTTTTTTTAGATAGACAAATCTAAGATTTATCAGGAAAGGTTTGTGTGGTTGTGTGAATGAAACGCCTCTTAATTTTTCAATAAGACATAGAGACTATTGGTATTTTAGTATTAGACCATAATCTTTTTCTTTTCACTATTGCTGGACCCTCAGGAAAACCCTGTTTACTTCCAAATGATCAAGATATGGACCATAAGAATGTTGACCTAGAACTCAGAGCTACTAAGAATTTTAGTCATTAAAATAAAAGCGATTACTACTTTGACTTTTAAAGGCAAAATATGCCTTCGGAATCCAGATTGAAAATGTATACAGCAACATGTAACATGTATCCAACTATGCAAAATGATTAATAATTAAAGAGAAGCTACCACCTGAAAGTAGTTTTAATTACAACCTTGTCTTTGCCTTTCATGTAGCTAGTTATTTTGAAAATATCACAGCTTGTCCAGTTGCTCTAAGTACTTATACTAAACATGTCCTTACTTTCTCTCTTATTTTTTACTTTTCTTTAAAAAAAAAAAAAAATAACATATCCATTGCTTAACTGTGAAATAGTACTGATACATTTAATTTTTAAAACAATCAGTGTTCTTAACTCCTCTCTACACTTTCTCCTTTATCCATTCTCAGAAGCACCACTGATATGGCTTGGCTGTGTCTCCACTCAAAATCTCTTCCTGAATCGCACTTCACATCATCCACATAATCCCCATGTGTCAAAGGAGAGACCAGGTGGAGGTAAATGAATCATAGGGGTAGTTTCCCCCCTGCTGTTCTCATGATAGTGACTGACTTCTAACATGATCTGATGGTTTTAGAAAAGGCTCTTCTCCCTTTGCTGGTCACTTCTCCTTCCTGCTCTTGGGAAGAAGGTGCCTTATTTCCCTTTTCCCTTCTGCCTTGGTTGTAAGTTTCTTGAGGCCTCCCCAGCCATGCTGAACTGTGAGTCAATTAAACCTCTTTACTTTATAAATTACCCACTCTTGTGCAGTTCTTTATAGCAGTGTGAAAATGGACTAATACAACCACTTTAATTATTTTAGCTATTTTTATGCTATTTCCACTTCTACATATTTCTAAATAGCTTGAAACTTGTTAGATTAAGTTTACCCTAAAGCGCCCTGCTTACATATTTTAAGTTCAGCCTAAAAATTTCTCTGGACCTACTGAACTGCAATCTAACTGGTTGTGTAAACAGACTGTAACCTACCCTTGCACCAGTCATTGAGTTTTGGCCAATCAAGGGTGGCAGACTTTTCGAACAGTGTTCAAATAAGGCAATTGCTGAACTGTAACCAATCCAGCTGTTTCTGTACCTGAATTCTCTTTTCTGTATTTGACTTTCCTTTTTCCGGCCATAAGTCTTTCACTGTGTGACTGCACTGCAGCCTGTCTGAACCTATTCTGGTTTAGGGGCTGCCAGATTTGTGAATCTTTTTTTTTTTTTTTTTTCTATTAAATCTTGTTAAGTTTAATTTGTCTAAGGTTTTTCTATTAACAGCCACTACTGCTATCTTCTGATTCATTAAGTTTGAGGGTTATATATTGACATTCCGTTTTGGTATGTCAGGATATAAAAATGGTGGGTTAGTTAATATTAAAAATATACCCTTACAAGTACTCACATGTGATTATTACAATGTGCCATGATTATGTTTCTTATTTTTTAATATTATGTTCTGGAATAAGTATAGATTTACATGAAGTTGCAAAGATAGTACATAAGTTGTACTCTTGACCTAGTTTTCTCCAGTGTTTGCATCCTATAGCCATAGAGTACAATATCAAAACCAGAGAATTGACCTTGGTAAAATGTGATGTATGGCTTCACATGTCCTTTTATCACAATGCAGTTTTCTGTAATTATTTGCATTGTAATGAAAATACAGAGTTCTTCCATCATCACGGAGTTCTTCCTTAAGTGTTACGCCAACACCTCTGAAATATCTAACTCCTGGCAACCCTAAACTGTTTTACATGTTTTTGATTAAGCAGTTTTGAGAATTCTATAAAAATAACAATATGCAGTATGTGAACTTCTGATTTTTTTTTTTCCACCCAGCATAATGCCATTGAGGTCCATTTAAGCTGTAGATGTATCAGTAGATCATTGCTTTTTATTGTTGAGTAGTGTCCCATGGTTTGAAGGAACCACTGTTTGTTTAATCATTAACTTATTGAGGGTTGTTGTGTCTGTTTCTAATTTTGAGCTATTAGAATTCACACTGCTATGAACAATCATGCACAATTTTTTTGTGGACATAAGCCTTAATTAACTTCTCTGATTCAGGAGTGCAATATCTGGCATTTATGATGAATGTCCTTTTAGTTGTTCAAGAAACTGCTGAACTATTTCCCAAAGTGCCTGCACCATTTTACATACCCGCAATGTACAGGGGATCCAGTTTCTCCACATCCTTGCCAACATTTGGTATTTTCATCATTTGTTATTTTAGTTCTTCTGATGAATGTACTGATGTCTCATTATAGTCTTAATCTGTGTTTCTAGTGTTGTCCAACATATTTTCAAGTGCTTATTTGTTATTAATATATCCTCTTTAGTGAAATGTTTCTCTATGTCTTTTGCCCATTTTTCTGAGTGGTTTGTTTATTGTTCAATGTTGAGAATTGTTTATATGATTTTGACACAGATCCTTTGTTTAGTTTGCAGACATTTTTCTCCCAGTCTGTAGCTTGTCTTTTGATCCTCTTAATGAGGTCTTTCAAAAGGTTTTTATTATGGCAAAGCCCAGTTTATTAATTTGCTCCTTTTAGGGTTGTGCTTTTAATGTCATGTCTGAACTTTTCACCATGCCATAGGGCTTATAGATTTTCACCTATATTATCTCCTAAAAGTTTCATAGTCTCAAATTTTACATTTTTTCCACTTTGAATTAAGTTTTAAGTGGGACATGAGGTTTACATTGAGGTTTATATATTTTTTTCCTGTGAATATATGCAATTACTCCACCACCATTTCTTAAGACAATCCTTCCTTCATTAAATTGTTTTTGTACCTTTGTTCAAAAAAATAGTTGATCATATTTGTGTGGATGCATTTATGGGTTTTCTATTATGTTTCATTGCTATGTGTGTTTATCCCTCCCCAAGTACTACACAGTCTTTATTACTGTAGCCATATCTTACACCTTTGAAATCAAGTAAAGTGATCCCTCCCATCTTATTTTTTTTTTTTATAATTGTTTTAGTTACTTTAGGGCTTATGTCTTTCCATGTCAATTTTAGAATAAACCTATCTATTTTTATAAATAATCTTCCTGGGATTTTGATAGAAATTGCCTTAAATTTATAGATTACTTTGGAAAGAAATGGCATCATTTTTATGCTGAATGTCCCATCATACAACATATGGTATGTCTTCCATTTATTCAAAATGTCTTTGATTTCTTTCACCAGCATTTTTAATTTCAGCATAGAAGTGCTATATATGTGTTAGAGTTGTACCTATTTCATTTCTATTGAGTGATATTAAGTATTCTTGTATTTTAAATTTTGGTTTCCTTTGTCCATTGTTAGTATGTAGAAATGAAATTGATTTTTGTATACTGATCTTATGTCTTGTAACTCCCTTGCTCTGAACTCACTTACTCATTTTACAGGTGTTGTATTTCTTTCTTTCCTTTTGTTTGGTTGTTTTGATATTGGATTTTTTTTTAACAGATCATCCTGTCATCTAGTAATAGGAAAAGTTTTATTTGTATCTTTATAAACTTGATGTCTCATATTTTTCCTTTTTTTATTGTGCTATCTATAATGCCCAATGTCCATAATATGCTGAATAGCAATGATGAGGACAGATATCTCTGCCTTGTTCCCAGTCTTTCACCATTAAATATGATTATAGCTGTACATATTTTGTAGAATGTTGTATCAAATTGAGGATATTTCTATCAAACTTCTGACAGGTTTTTAAATGAAATGTGTTGAGATTAATCATTTTTATAGATCAATTGATATGACCATGTGATTTTTGTTTTATACTTTAAAATAATGAAGCACATTAAATTTCAATTATCAATCCAACTTTAAATCCCTGGAATACATACCATGACCAATGGTCATGGTATATAATTTTCTATATAAATACACACACACACACATGCACACACACACACATACATGCTCCTAGATATATATGTAAGCCATGATTTTTTAATTAAGGATATTTGAGTCTATATGCATAACAGATATTGATCTGTAGTTTTCTTTTTTAACTGTCTTTATCTGATTTTGGCATTGTGGTAATACTAGGTTCATAAAATAAATTAAGAAGTGTTCTTTCCTCTTTTTTCTGGAAGAGAAATAATATGTTATTAATAATTCCTTAAATGTTTGATAGAAATCTTCGGGAAAACCATCTGGGGCTGTAGATTTCTTTTTTATTAGTTTTATTGAGTATATTAGCATCATAGTCTTCCTCTAAGTATTAGATTTCTCTAACGCTGCTTGAAAATGTGTTCAACCAAACATTTCTATTCTTAAACCCTGTTAAAGTTCGTAATGAGCAATCACAAAGGAGAAACAAGATGAAACTAAGAAAATTCTGAGTTAGGTTACAGTTCCCATCAGTAGGTGGGAAGATCATCATTCATCAGTGTATCCTCCAACAACATGATCCCATCCTCCATCTTCCAGGAATGCAATGTCCTTCATAGGAAGATACACTCAAAACCTTTTTTTAAAAAAGCAAATATATTATATTTATATAGCAGTTTTAGGTTTACAGAAAAGTTGAACAGAACCCCCTTCCCATCTTGCCCCATACCCACATAGGTTGCCCTATTGTTAGTATCTCTCATTAGTGTGATAAATTTGTTACAATTGGTGAGCCACTATTGACACTATTATTAAGTAAAGCCCATAGTTTATATTAGGCTTTGCTCTTTGTTTTGTACAGTACTATGGTTTTGACAAATGTATAGTGTCATGAATTTATCCTCACAGTGTCATATCATATAGAATGGTTTCACTGCCCTAAATACCCCCTTTTGCTTCATGCATGTATTTCCCTCTTCTCCCACCAGTTTCCTGGCAACTACTGATCTTGCACTATTTCTTTGAATGATTTAATCCTCACAGGAACTCTGTGAAATTATTATTAGTAGTGTAACCTATTATCGATATGTAACAAATGAGGAAACTTGTTGAGGGTCATGTAGCTAATAAATAGTGAAGTCAGGACTTAAAAGCAGGAATTCTGACTCCAGATACCAAACTCTTAATCATCATGTTATAATTACTGCAACATGAATTAATGTCACAAGTGACAGGAGAATTATTAAAAATTAATAAAATAGTTTCTTTTGGTTTTAAAAATGAAAGCTCATAAAAAATAAAATAGTGAAATGGAGTAGTTAAAACATAAAGGATCAAAATCCTTATACATTTCTCTCTCTCTCTCCCCCATATATATTTTTATGTATGTATATAATATGTATATGTACTCTCTCTATATATATCCTTTACATATATACGTATGTATTTTGCAGACCAGGATCCAGTCACTGAGAGACTGAGAACAAATCCAGTGGATTATACAATGTTTCCCTCCCTATCACCTTGTCACCACTCATATTCATATCTGTAGGTATCAGAGCCTAAAATTAACTATAGTGTTCTTATTTTCATCTCCTCTTTTGTCATTGTGTTTATCTAGATATTATTTATTAAAAAGGTTATAAGCTTTGCAGGTCTTTTACCTGTAATTCACTGTTACCATATAAGAGTCTGATTGATGTGCTGGTAAGTATAATAGATTCAGTGCCTGGATCATTTTAGGCACTCAACAAATGCAAGCTGTTATTAACGTCTTTTTTTGGAGGAAAAATGTCCTTACAAAAAGTATAGTATGTGTCTTTACAGAGATTAAATTACTATACTTTGGGTACTAGACATTTCTCATGAATTAAATGAAAGTTGTAAATCGTTACTACTTGCTAAGTATCTATAAAGCCCTATTTCTTTAAAAATTTTAAAAATTTCTAATGGTAGAAAGTACTTTTATACTTACTTTTGGAGTCATGGAAATTATGAAAAATTTATTCTGCTCTGACCTAAATTAAATTCTTTACATTGATTTACAAACAAATTTAGGTGATTAGAAAAGAGAATTGCATTTTAATGGTCAAAAAAGATGGTCACTCTGAATGCTATTTCACACAAAGAAACCCACATGCTGCTGGTAGCTTAGTAAATGTATGCCACATGGACGTGACCATTGTTCTGACTACTTGATAACTCCCTTCCTCTTAATATGTTTGTGTGTCGGAATTGAAAAATGTAATAGAACTGTTTGAATTGTTGATATCAGTAGGGTTAATATTTTGGCTGTGTTAAATCATTTGTGAGTTAATATTACAAAAAATGAACTTTTTATTTTATTTTATTTTATTTTATTTTATTTTATTTTATAAAAGGAGTCTCACTCTCTCACCCAGGCTGGGAGTGTAGGGCACGATCTCAGGGTTTGCCATGTTGGCCAGGCTGGTCTTGAACTCCTGGCCTCAAGTGATCCACCTGTCTTGGGCCCCAAAGTGCTGGGATTACGGGCATGAACCACCATGTCTGGCCTGTCATTTTTTTTTAAGGATATTTGAATTATTTTTAAGTGAGAATTTTTTTTTTTTAGCTAGCACAAATTCATCTCTTAAACGTAGATTTATAGATGTTCTGTGTCATCTGAAATGTAAGGAGATGCCACTATTACTAAGTAATTTTTCTGCCAATCTCCATGAAACACTGTAAAACTTTTCTTTAAACCTTTGTACCCATTTACTCCTGTCCTTCTTTGGATCTACTAAGAAAAAGTTTGGACTACAGATAACAATTGTTCCATCATGGGTCTTTCTATGTTCATATCATATTCAATATGATTCATGATGCTTAATATTCTTTTACAGTTTATGTAAAAATTACAACCTATCTTCTATTCATATTACTTGACCTCTTCAACTTGATTTTTAGAAGCAATGTTATAATGATTTAGAGCTATTTCAAACCCACTAGTGTTTGCATCTGAAAGAAACATTCATTTTATTAATAATGAAATGCCAAAATATTCTTGATATTAATTTCTGTAGTTGTCAGCTCTTGGTTTGGATTTTTAAAAAAGATATATGAGGGATGCAAATAGACAAACAATAACACAATCTCACACATGATACACATACACACAAAAATTGCAGACTAGTTCAGAAGTTTGTTTATTCACTGATATGTTTACTCACATGCAAATAAAAACCTTTTATTTGGATTCTCTAATTTGATTTGTATTGAGTTTATTCTAGATAAACACAGGCCTTTTCTACAGATCTTTCCATGAAAAAGAGTCAAGCACTGTGAAATATACGAAGAAATTTATTCTGAGCCAAATATTAGTGACCAAAGCCTAAGGCACAGTCTCTAGATTTCCTGAAAACATGTGCCCAAGGTTATTGGTTATAGGTTGGTTTTATATGTTTTAGGGAGACATAAGACATCAGTCAACACATGTATGGTATACATTGGTTCAGTCTAGACAGGACAATTTAAAGCAGGGGCTTGCAGGCCATAGGTGAATTCAAAGATTTTCTGAATGGCAATTTGTTGAAAGAGTTAGTTATTAGCTAAAGGCCAGGAATCAATACAAAGGAGTGTATGGGTTAAGATAAGGGGTTGTGGAGACTTAGGTTCTTATTATGTAGAATAGGTGATGAATGTTTCTTATCAGGCCTTATATGGTGCCAGACTTAGCTAAATCTCTCCGGGATCAAGAAAAGACTTGGAAGCGGGAGGGGATGGTCTATAGAATACAGGTTTTCCCTACAAGAGACAGTTTTGCAGAGTCATTCTAAAATATGTCAAAGGAATACATTTTGGGGTAACATACTTGCATTTCTTTTAAGGTCTGCTGTCTGTCATGTGATGTTATACCACAGTCAGGTTGGGATTTGATACCTTACTGCTGCAGTCTGTTTTGTCAGGCTTAAGGTCTCTGTTTTATATTAATGCTGGTCAGTTGTTCCTGAATTCCAAAAGGAGGAGGGTATAATGAGGCACTTCTGACTCCCGCTTGCTGTCATGGCCTGAACTGTTTTTTCGGGTTGACTTTACAATCCTACTGGCCAAGAGAAATGGGTCCATTCAGTCAGGTGGGTGGCTTAGAATTTTCTTTGTGGTTCACAGATCCCACTCTGAATTTTTTTCCTAGTTCTAGAAATAATATCACAAAAATGTTCAGCACATAATATAGACAATAAAGATAATATAAAACGATGATGTCAGTGGCACAGAATATTAAACATTTTGAAGGTAATGTCAATGTATGTATTTACCTGCAATTTACCTGCAAAGAAATAACACTTCACACTTCAAGATTAATTGCTGTTCATATACCATTTTTGTAAATATTGAAGAATATTCATGAAGAATTGGTTATTTTAAAATGTGCAGTAATGTACTCTATAGAAATAAATTAGAATTCCCACTCCACTACATAAAAATGAAAGCTAAGTAATGAAGGTTAAGCAGTGACCAACGATAGTGGGATAATACTTGTTTGTTTTCTAATTTAACGTTCAACTTCCTAAAGATGCTCCAAAGGAAATAAAACTATGCAATAAAGAAATGTCTTGAATATAAATGGAATTTTAAATTGACTGCTTGTCCAGTTTGCTCTGTAAATGGACCATCCTGAAGGAAACTAGTTACTACAGGCAGTGAGAAGGAAGAACAGGACCAGTGCCCCCTAGGAAACTACCAGAAGGATCTTCATTTGCCAACTGCAGGATTTGCAGGACAAGAAAATTCTGTTTCTAAGGAAACAAGAAGAACTTTTGTGCTTTTTTTCAAGGTAGGTTCAAAATCTTTCTGAGGGAGTCTAGTAATGGGGCATTGCTACTGATGAAGCCTATTTGTTTGTGAAAGAAATCCTGATGATTATTTCCAGATAGTTAAGGGAAAAGTAATACCAATCATACACAAACTCTTCCAGCAAACAGAAAATGAGAGAAACGTTCCAAATTTGTTTCATGTGTCCGTTTATAAATATCTCAATGCCAGTGTGAGACAACAATACTGAAAAAGAAAAAAAATACAGATTAATCCTTCACAACATAGATTTAAAATTGCTAAACAAAATATGAATAAAACAAATCCATTTGTCTGTCCTGTCTATCTAACTAACCTAACTAAAGGAAATATATCTCAAAATAATGAGCTTTCAAGAAATGCAATGCGGAAATATCAAGCCATATAATTCACCATATTAAGAAAATAAACGAGATAAAACATATGGTATTCATTTAAATGTTTATAAGTAACTGCAGGAATATCATTTCCTATAATTTAATCCACATCTGAAACTGCTTAGAAAACTAGGAAGATTTTTCTTAACCTCATAAAGGGTATTTATTTTAAAAAGCAAAATTTAAAACCAAAAATAAGAAGAGTAAACACATATTCAGTAATGAATGACTGAAGTGTTGAAACTGTTCCTTCTGAGATACAAAGTAGAATAAGGATGCTCAATAAAACACACCATTTGAGGCTACACTGGCATTCTTATCAGCACAAAGGGCAAAGAAAAATGATAACTTGTTATTTGTAAATAACAAATTTGTAAATAAAAAAACTGAAGAATCTGTACTTAAGCTCATAATTTAACAATTTCAGCAAGCTTGGTGGATACAAAAATTTATACGCACATACGCACACACATATATATATTTATATATATAATATACAGAGCTATTCGTCATATTTCTATATACCTACAAAGATTTTGGAAATGACATGTTAAAATTATGCTATGAAAACAGCATACAAAACATATCAAGCTAAAAGCATGAATGATATATAAAACCTCTACACAGAAAAAAAACAAAACATTATTGAGATTTACTAAAAGGAGAGCTAACTAAATGGAGGCCTATAGCAAATATAGCCTATGAATGGGTTGGAAAAATCAATTTTAAAAGATTATAAGTTTTTAAATCTCTAGAGTCAATGCATCACAATCAAAACAACGTGTTTTATGAGGGAAAACTGACAATTTGATTCTTAAGCTTATGTATGAAATTACAATGATATAGGGAAAACCTAGACGATCTTCACTTTAAAAGAGGCTGGAAAACTTACACTTTAATGTGGTCATCTAGTGAGAAGTTATATTAATTTAGATACTGCTTAAAGAAAATCAAATAAGATTATTAGAATCCCATAAGTGGTCCAGAAACAAACCTACAACTGTTTCATCATTGTATTTATTAAATTGCAATGCTTCCATCCCATGTAGAAACAATATACTTTATGATTAAAAATCCTGGAAAAATTTGGTATTCATATGGGAAACTTTGCCTCTGTTTTATTCTATGCAAAAATTGATTCCAGATGAAGTATAGATACATATTTCAAATGCGAAATAATACATCTTCCAGGTGAAAACATTAGAGTATCTTCCCAATCTTTACCTAGCAACATATTTATTCAAAGATTACAAAAAATATTAACTATAGAAAAGGTTAAATGGTGAGGGTCCATCTAGTAAACTGCATAAGACCAATATTCCCAGAAGAGGCTTTTTACTTATTGTCAGATAGTCAAACCAGGTTGTTTCCCCAGTTATGCTAGATAAAACCATGAATAAACAAACTTGTCTTAGGAATTACCAAGGGAGTTTTAAAGTTGAGGTAACACATCATCATCTCCACTACTCTTATCAGAAACAATG